TGTTTCTTTGGATGAAATTAGCAAATATGTGATTTGATTATATATGATTTAATAAAAAGGCAGAAAATAACAGATACAGCAAATTTATATACATATATACATTTTCTTTAGTAATTATAAGTTATCTTGATTATGGACTTTGATGCACTTGGAATAACTTCTGTTTACTATTTGTTTTTTAGTTTTGTGATGCTACTAATAATTGTATCGATTAGAATATGATTACCATTTTATCATTTTGTATTTAAGCTATTGCACCTCTCTAAAATGTTAGGATGAAATAAATTAACTGTTGTTGATTTTAATGAAATAAAAAGAGATGTCTTAATATAAAATAATAATCATTCAGAATGCAAGCTATTTTACCACTTGAGAAAGCCCTAAGGGGAGAAATGTGTTGTGTTTTTTTATGTTGTTAAATAAAGTATGTTGCCAACCTCACTGTGTGTTTTAGCCATATATTTTTAAAACTTGTTTTTTATTTTTATACTTTTACCTGACATCTGAACCCATTACCTACTGCGGACAACCAACCAAAGAAATCCTTGGTGGGGATTATACCACCCATGATTGATACATAGAGTGGTTAATCTGCTCACTTTATTGTGAGCATATTTTTATTTACCTTATCGATACTTCCCTATTGTTATGGATAAAAATAATCCAAGGATATGTTCAAGGGAAACCAAATTGTTAGTTCGAACGTGCTCGAAGAAGAAATCAGACAACAGACACCAGCGTTTGTGTATCAAAGAAAGCTTCTGCTTTTTAATTCGAGATCAATATAATATAGCTTTATTACTTGCATGACAAAAACAGGATGCTTGAAGGCACTTTGTACCATTAAAGGAATTAACACAACTAAGTATATTTCAACGGCTATATATATAAAAAAAAACAAACATAAAGTTACTAAGGACATAAGAAGGGGGGCTAAGGGTGACAGCTGCAATCATCTCCTCAGAAACCACAGAATGTAACAAGGAAAAAGGAAAAAGAGATTTTGCGTACGTGTCAGGCACTCAAACTAAGCTCTTGAGAAAGGCACATTTGAGTGCCGAAACATGCATCGAGCGGATGCTGCTCATTCTTTTATTCAGGGATTCCAATTTATTTTCCTTTTATGTAACTTTCTTTATTCACTATTAGTTTAAATGCTGAGGGGGACCACAACCAAGCAGTAAGGCAGGTGGAGAAGGTGGATTGGTGTAGGTTATTTAGCAAGCAAGCTTAAGCAACATTACTGGGCATTTTCCCACGCTAGACCTCATTACTCCCTTTTCCCCTCCTGATACCCTGTCTATCACTGCGGCAGCTGTATACTAGACTGCTATTAATGGGACTGCCACAAAGCAGAAAGGAGGGTGGAGGATGTGGATTGGTGTAGGTTATCTAGCAAACAAGCAACGTTATTGGGCATTTTACCAGGCTAGACCGTTTTACTCCCTATTCCCTTCCCGGTTCCCTGTCTATTTCTGCGGCAGCTTTATATTAAATAGGAATGCAGTATTACTGTGATATATTATCTGGTATATATATTTTTTTACACCCAGCATTTATTCTAAATTATACTAGATTGTACAGGGAGTGCAGAATTATTAGGCAAATGAGTATTTTGACCACATCATCCTCTTTATGCATGTTGTCTTACTCCAAGCTGTATAGGCTCGAAAGCCTACTACCAATTAAGCATATTAGGTGATGTGCATCTCTGTAATGAGAAGGGGTGTGGTCTAATGACATCAACACCCTATATCAGGTGTGCATAATTATTAGGCAACTTCCTTTCCTTTGGCAAAATGGGTCAAAAGAAGGACTTGACAGGCTCAGAAAAGTCAAAAATAGTGAGATATCTTGCAGAGGGATGCAGCACTCTTAAAATTGCAAAGCTTCTGAAGCGTGATCATCGAACAATCAAGCGTTTCATTCAAAATAGTCAACAGGGTCGCAAGAAGCGTGTGGAAAAACCAAGGCGCAAAATAACTGCCCATGAACTGAGAAAAGTCAAGCGTGCAGCTGCCACGATGCCACTTGCCACCAGTTTGGCCATATTTCAGAGCTGCAACATCACTGGAGTGCCCAAAAGCACAAGGTGTGCAATACTCAGAGACATGGCCAAGGTAAGAAAGGCTGAAAGACGACCACCACTGAACAAGACACACAAGCTGAAACGTCAAGACTGGGCCAAGAAATATCTCAAGACTGATTTTTCTAAGGTTTTATGGACTGATGAAATGAGAGTGAGTCTTGATGGGCCAGATGGATGGGCCCGTGGCTGGATTGGTAAAGGGCAGAGAGCTCCAGTCCGACTCAGACGCCAGCAAGGTGGAGGTGGAGTACTGGTTTGGGCTGGTATCATCAAAGATGAGCTTGTGGGGCCTTTTCGGGTTGAGGATGGAGTCAAGCTCAACTCCCAGTCCTACTGCCAGTTCCTGGAAGACACCTTCTTCAAGCAGTGGTACAGGAAGAAGTCTGCATCCTTCAAGAAAAACATGATTTTCATGCAGGACAATGCTCCATCACACGCGTCCAAGTACTCCACAGCGTGGCTGGCAAGAAAGGGTATAAAAGAAGAAAATCTAATGACATGGCCTCCTTGTTCACCTGATCTGAACCCCATTGAGAACCTGTGGTCCATCATCAAATGTGAGATTTACAAGGAGGGAAAACAGTACACCTCTCTGAACAGTGTCTGGGAGGCTGTGGTTGCTGCTGCACGCAATGTTGATGGTGAACAGATCAAAACACTGACAGAATCCATGGATGGCAGGCTTTTGAGTGTCCTTGCAAAGAAAGGTGGCTATATTGGTCACTGATTTGTTTTTGTTTTGTTTTTGAATGTCAGAAATGTATATTTGTGAATGTTGAGATGTTATATTGGTTTCACTGGTAATAATAAATAATTGAAATGGGTATATATTTGTTTTTTGTTAAGTTGCCTAATAATTATGCACAGTAATAGTCACCTGCACACACAGATATCCCCCTAACATAGCTATAACTAAAAACAAACTAAAAACTACTTCCAAAAATATTCAGCTTTGATATTAATGAGTTTTTTGGGTTCATTGAGAACATGGTTGTTGTTCAATAATAAAATTAATCCTCAAAAATACAACTTGCCTAATAATTCTGCACTCCCTGTATATTTTTTAGGAGGCTTCTTGTTATGTTGAACAGTACTTATGGATTTATAATCTGTCTTACAACTGGTTAAGTGCTATCTCATTTACTATTTTTTATTATAGCTACTGTGCATCGAATATAGCCTAGAATTTATAAGGAAACAGATACTATTAAGTGGCACTGTTTAACCTGGTGTCTGTTAATCCATCGATTGTACAGCACTACGTAACTTGTTGGCGCTTTATAAATAATAATAATAATTATAATAATAATGTGTTAGCTAAAGGCTGTTGGTGACCATTAGTGACAGACTTTTTGAGAAAACCAGACACACATGAGTTTATTACTAAAAAAGAAAATAGTCTTTGTATAAAAATATCTGATTACCTCTATAACTGAAATCAAAATGTATCCCCCTTTTGGGCAAAATCTGGAGATAGTGTCTTTTGACTTCTTATGAGTCAATATCATAAGAACTCAGAACAAAGTTGATTTTTTTTGTATCTTAACTTTATAAGCTATGCATTGTATAGTAGAAGGAGTAACTGGCAATTACTAGTTCAGTAATAGCTGCATATAAACGGCTTTTATATGGCATAGCACAACAAAACATGTCCAGATATGAATGTAAACCTTGCGTGGTGTCTTTTATGCTTTGAATTGCAATAAAAAGTCTTACATTTAAGAGAAAGAATACAGGAGACATTGGCAGAAAAAAAAAGATCAGTTTGAAGTCTAAAGTACATTCTGATTGTCTGCTTCAGTGATTCAACCAATTAAAATATAGCTGAAATTCAGACTATGACCCACTGCCATAAATATCCATAAATGAGGATAAACTTGTGGTCCACTAACTTACTTAAAATGCAGACTTCTTTAGGCAATACATGTACGATCAGAACTGTTCCATAAACACATATATATTTTCAACTCTTTTTATGTAAACTGAACTTAAATTGCAGCACTACAATTTATTTAAAGCCACCTTTAATGTTTAGGATTTCAAACCACAGAATGGATTCTGCCAATAATACATTTTTATCTAGGTTGCAATTTCCAAATGGGTTCATTTATCGTGTGAAACAGAATACTGAATTCAAAATGACAAAAGTGTTTGAAAAACAAACAAGGCTTTGGATAGGTTTTTTTTTTTTTTTTTAAAGAACAATAAATAAAAGCTGTAGCTAGTCAGATTTTAGAATATAAATACACAATTCAGAATAAACTAATATATCTTACAGGTAATGCTTTGATAACTTTGAATGTGGTAAGATAATAGATTGGAACGGACATCAGGTGCAAAATAACCCATTGTGAACATTGCAATTTAAAACTCTTCTTCCATTTCTTTAGATACTAAATTGTTTCTTTGCATGATTACAATGAATTCTTTTACAATCACTTCTCTGTGTGGTGCATAATGATATTGCATTGTGAGAAACTATGTGTAGGGTAGGAATAGCTATGCTGTAACTTCAAAGAGTAGTTAGAAATATTCTGTTTGTCAATCAACTTTCCATTTATCATCCAAAACATTGTAAGTAGGCTGTGATGGAAACGGGTTTCTTTCTTGAAAACATGCTTCTGTGTTTTGAAATTCTAAAATTATAGCTTTGCTTTATTATTATAGTAAATAACGCTGATGTTCGATACATTTAGAAACTGAAATAGGAAACCATTTTGTTCCACTGCATATTATATTGATACTTGAAGTGTTGGTATAAAGTTTGTTGAGGCTAACCCAGTACGTTTTTCTGTATAAGAAGTTGGGTTAATGTGGGGCTAATGTGGGACACATCTTGTTGACCACTAGTGATGTCCCGAACGGTTCGCCGAACATATGCGGTAAATTTTGATCCTGTACCTCACAGTCAGCAGACACATTCCAGCCAATCAGCAGCAGACCCTCCCTCCCAGACCCTCCCACCTCCTGGACAGCTCACTAAGAATGCAGCTTCACAATGAATGTAAAATGGATGCTGTCCAGGAGGTGGGAGGGTCTGGGAGGGAGGGTCTGCTGCTGATTGGCTGGACTGTGTCTGCTATATAAAGATATCAAGAATTGATATCTTTATTTTTTTTTTATTAAACACTAAGTTTAGTGACTAAACCCACAGAAACAAATGTAAGTTCAAAATAATAATTTGCTTTATGCTGTCATGAAAGTTTTTTCAAAATTCTTAGAATACATAACGAAATTATGGGTAAAGAACATGCACAGCTAAACTTAATGCCCAGTTGGTCATTCATGGAGACCAAGTGTGGTCTTAACAGTGGACATCTAACACTAAACCAATGGTGAACCCCAAGGTTTGAAGGGCAACAGTAATGAAATCTAACTTCAAAGCAAGAAAGTGTTAGCTACAATGTGTACTAGAAGCAAGAAATATATCAAGAACTTAATGGTAGGGATGGCACTTTTAAGTAGTATGGATAGCATGACTGTCAGATACTCTATTGCACACCTGATATGGTCATCTTGGCTGTGAATAGAGATCTTGCTCTCGTATGTGTGCTATATATGTATGGTATTTAGGGACATTTCTCATCTATGATCTAGGCATGTTTGAAAATTGCTTGAGTAGAAACCCACAACTTGTTAAACCTGCATCTGTAATCATATCAGTGTTTATTCATAAGGTCACAAATTCAAAATCAACCAAGTCAACTTTCAGTCATCCGAGGATGCTAGGAGTAGTTTGTAACTTTTTGTAATGTGTTCTGGTGTACCCACAAGGAGCAAAGCCTCTCATGCTCCACTTCTGTTTGGGGCTCTCTATTGTTACAACCTTTGCCACAATCACGCAGAGCAAACGAAAGCTGTAAGTTGTATGCTTAGTCAAGCTGAGAATGCTGAGAGTGCTGAGAGCTAGAGTAGCATTATAGTAAAGTAGATACAAGTCACTTACCTTTTTTACTGAGGTTCTTAGAGGTCAATGATACGTAATTGATCAAAACATATAATGGCATTAGATTATTGTTGTAAGCTTCTCGTCCTTTTAAAAGGAATTATATTGAATAGTTACTTAGCCGTGAAGTCTTTACAGAAAACTGGAAAATGTTAAGTCTGGACCATTTTAAGTTGTTGAAATATATATTGATTTGATTTCTTGGTGTTTTGGAAACCCCATAATGGTTTAACGAAGCAATTTATGCATAACTGCAACAGTGTATCTATTAGACTAATTGTATAAATCACTTGTAGAGCCCCGAGCCCATCATATATTTCCTGCTGAAATCCAAATATGTTCACGAAGTGCAATTACCTAGGATTGAAAGTAACAATCCCTCCAGGCTATACATTATTACAAATACAACCCCTGCAAAATATTGGAAATTGAGAATGGGCCATGGAAGGTAGGAAGAATAACATATAATTAACCCCTTTAGTATCCATGTCACTTACAATAAAATTGTGTTGACGACTTTGCACGTCCACTACTTTGAAATGTTATTTGTTGATGGATATTATTGCCTGCTCCCCCCTCTACCAAAAAAAAAAAAAATTGTCTCTTTTATGGGAACTCTTGTAGCAAAATTATAATTGTAACCAGTTGTCAAATCATCATAAGAGAAGAAGAACAGAAAAAAAAATTATTTAGTTGAGTGGAAATAAAAAACAAAATGCAGTTTTGGAGTTAAATTTGCCAGTTTTCAGTGCAAAAATACTAAATTCCAAAAAGGTAAAAATACATTGTATTTGAAATACAATGTTCTGTAAGATTATGACCTTATATTGGAATGAATAAAATAACATGCACAAAATGTTTCAGAGCAAATACCATTTTTTTGTACAACAACAAGAAGCTGCATCAGTTCATTGTCAGTCTATCACCAAGTACTCATGACTCAGATACTTGTAGAATATGACAAGCTATATTTGTTAATTTGAAAAATATATCTATGGCAACAACTTCATTTTAGTTGAATATATAACCATAATGTATTGTGGATGTCAGAAGTTTTTTTTTTTTTTACTACTGTCTGATTTAGCTTCCATGTGGAAAGTATTTTTTTACAGTTTTACATAATTCTCTTGAGGATATAGAAAATTAGGAAATGTATTGCCATCTTTTTTTCCCCGTGTGAATCCCATTGAACATTGTAATGTGAAATAAATAAAAAATAAATAAATTTTTTCTAAACAAAATGTAAACCCCCCCCCATCAAAAAAATATTACCCAGCTCCATAACTGTCTATTAGACAAATTTGGCGTCTAATGTTTGTTGTAAAGTTTACTAAACAATATATAAAGCAAAAAAATGGGTCACAAGAGTATACTGAGAATGGGCAGCAGCTGAAATAGCCTGCCCTTTGGTGGGTCCCCGCTCAGATCTCAAGCAGGTTTTTGCTCATCTTGTGCCATTACAGAGAGAACATCTCTGAAACATATCAGACTGGTCCCACCCATACTGGCAGTCCAGATCCGAAATGCCAGCAAGTTCTCTCTGCACGAGAGAAACAGCAACCCCAGACGATCGTTTCAGCCTTGTTAGGCATCATCAGTGAGGCATGTATGTATTTTAAGGTACTTTTGGGGTGTTTGGGAAATGTGTGTTTTTTGTACCTGGAGATAATTGAGTTTAATACAGTGCTTGACTCAATCATTTCCCAGGCACAGGGGGGGAATTATCTTATTATGTATGGGAGTGCCCTGGATCTGAGAGCCAATGTAATTATGTATTTGTTTTTACTGTGGTTTACTCTCAGGCCCAGGGGGGAGTGCCCCTTGCATGGGGACATGCATAAAAGGCCAGTTGTGGCTGCCAATAAAAGTATTCCAGCTTGTACTCCCAGAACTATGTGTCATCTGGTTACTGGGAGGGGGAAGGGCTATTCTTTAATTACTGTTCCAGTGTGGAGGATGCAACGGGGAAAGTCCTTGTAAGGACTAGAGCTCCCAGGACTGAGTTGTGTCCAATGTCTGGGAGTGTCTAGAGCGAATTCCCCATTCGGCTCCAGGAGGGAGCGGTTCCAGGACCCCAGTCAAGCCACGGCAACTGAGGACAAGAGTGCTGAGGTTTGTCCCCTGTTCCAGCTAGGAAGTGGTCCTTGGTGGAGGTACCCAGCCAGGGGCACAGGAAGCTCCATTACACTACTCCACAAAGAAATTCTGGAATATTCTCTCCCTAGTTTATAGCTTCTGCTATCTCGAAAGGACCAATCCTTGAAACACTTATTTTTCCAGGATGAGAAAAAATGCTTCCTTCTTTCTTGTGTCAAAAAAAGCTTTTTTGCCATCCGCAGCCTTTTGAATGGCTTTGTCCAGTATATTACCAAACAATAAATCCTCCTGGAATGGAAAACCACACAGGGATGTCTTGGAGACATAGTTGGCACACCATGAATGAAGCCATAAGGCCCTTGTAGAGGCCACAGACAAGGCCATACCTTTCGCGATTATACAAGTATGTCTAAAGAGGCTTCTGAGCAGAACTCTGTAGCCAGGCTGAAGTCCTTGAGTCTTTCCAGAAGATGTTCTCTGTGGACTCCACGGTCAATGTCCTCCTCTAGATTTGCAATCCACACTCTTAAGGCCCTTGAGAGAGTGGTTAAGGCTACTGCTGGATGGGGCCTAGGGCTAAATAAGATTTGATGAGATCCCCATCCATACGTTTTGCCGTTGGTTCTCTAAGATACGCCGTGGATCCAATGTGGAGTGTGGTTTTCTTAACCATATGAATTACAGAAGCGTCTGTTTTAGGAATCGAATTCCAGACTTTGCTGTCATTGACAGAATAAGGATATATCCTTGTAAACTTATTTTTCAAGGTGGTTATTCTTTCAGGCTTGTTCCATTCTTGGAAAAAGGTGTCCTTAATCGAATAATGCATCGGAAATGTTGGACTATATGGTTTGAGATACTCAAAGAACCCATTTGCGCCTCTCAATTCTGACTTCTGTTCTGTGAGGCTGAGTGTCCCCTATAAGGGTAATTAGCATATCAATAGACTCAGAGTCCAAGACCTGAAAGGAAAATTCAACATCATCCTCAGCGTCATCTGAGGTCTTCCCACATATCAGGGTCTTCATCAGAGCCTGAAGACTGAGGTTCTGCTCTCTGTCTTTTATAAGGACACCTTTTATCAGTGGTAGACTTAAAGCCCTCAGCAATAGTTCGAGAAATCCAATGTTTAAGGTCGTCCTGTTGGGAACTTCTATTGGAAGCATCCGCTATTTTCAACAAGCACTCTCTGCAAAGGTTCTTTCCCTGAGATGCAGAGGACAAACAATTCAAACATTTATTGGTTTTATCCCTTGATTTTCTTATAGGAGAATCCATTGTTTTGCTGGGGCTAAAATAAAAACCATATATGAACATCTATTACAGGCTTATTCTGGCACTCTTTTTAACACCCCGATAAGAAAAAATTATTGGCTCACCTCAGCCAAATGACAGCACAGCTCCACGTGAATACAGGGAGTGCAGAATTATTAGGCAAGTTGTATTTTTGAGGATTAATTTTATTATTGAACAACAACCATGTTCTCAATGAACCCAAAAAACTCATTAATATCAAAGCTGAATATTTTTGGAAGTAGTTTTTAGTTTGTTTTTAGTTATAGCTATGTTAGGGGGATATCTGTGTGTGCAGGTGACTATTACTGTGCATAATTATTAGGCAACTTAACAAAAAACAAATATATACCCATTTCAATTATTTATTATTACCAGTGAAACCAATATAACATCTCAACATTCACAAATATACATTTCTGACATTCAAAAACAAAACAAAAACAAATCAGTGACCAATATAGCCACCTTTCTTTGCAAGGACACTCAAAAGCCTGCCATCCATGGATTCTGTCAGTGTTTTGATCTGTTCACCATCAACATTGCGTGCAGCAGCAACCACAGCCTCCCAGACACTGTTCAGAGAGGTGTACTGTTTTCCCTCCTTGTAAATCTCACATTTGATGATGGACCACAGGTTCTCAATGGGGTTCAGATCAGGTGAACAAGGAGGCCATGTCATTAGATTTTCTTCTTTTATACCCTTTCTTGCCAGCCACGCTGTGGAGTACTTGGACGCGTGTG